TCCCAACAGCATAATAAAGGCATTGGATGTCCTAACTACAGGGACAATTATTTGTCATTCATCTGTATCTCACAGTGTAATGAAAAATGTCCACTTACCAACAAGAAGTTCAATGATAGATTCTTTGGACTCTGAGGGAAAAAAGCATCTATATCTGCCATTATCAGAGTGTTTTACTTTAGAGAGTTTCAATGAAAGGTCTCCCTGCTTCAGTTTCTCAGTGGACAGTGATGTCCTTCCTTTGTAAGATGGGTTTTGATTAACCAGATGGTCTTGACCCTCAAACCACACATGGACAAATCTGGGATCCAAGTCAGGTCTCCCCCACTCTAGACTTTTAGACACAGCATCTGTCGCAGGGTCCAAGTAGCATGGTAAGATGACATCCTCACCAACTACTGTGATTATTTTTTGAGAAGATGTTACTGTCTGAGACTGACCTGAAAGGGCAGGACAAAGTTTTCGTATCTTACAGTCATGTTTATCTAACGTTCTTAGATTATCTGTAACTGAAGCTTGACTGCTCAGTTTCATTTATATTTTTGTACACCTAACAAATTATAAAATATACACCGTCCATCCATTCGCTTCCGCTTAACCACCACCACTAACCACCATGCCACCGTGCTGCCCTAAAATATACACAGACCTCCAAAAATGACATATTTTGTGTAACGTATTTACTTTAGCTGATAACGTTTGTGTAGATGTTACCTGTCCTTATATCTGCCAGAAGGAGTAGGATCACAGTGCGGTGAAAAAACAAAGTGCATGGTTGACGTTTCAAAGTGGGTTGACCACACTGGGAATTCATCCTGGAGTTCTGGATAAAGAATACAAAGCCCCAAAATTTGAATTACTAAAAAGTATATCATGACTTTAAGACAGCAAAAAGCATAAACAAGTAAAAATATCAGCTGAGATCACCAATAACAGGTGAACAGAAAAATACTGATCATCTTGTAAAATTTAGCCAATGGCATGAAACAAAATACCAATTTGAATACTGATGTAGACTGTGCAATAAAAAAATGATTTTATTGCAAAGCTAATTATTTTGTTTCCCCTTTTTTTTTTTCTGCCACAGACCTTCCTTTGGCAATCTGTGTTTTTGATCAGCAAAACAAATATACTTTAAACCAGATTATACTGGGTAAGTTAATGATAAAAAAAAAACAAACAAACAAAAAAAAACTTACCAATACTGCCATTTTGAAAAAGACTGCCATTTTGTGTTAGTTATACGCTTGATCACAAAGTCCAGCACAGCCTGGTAATACATTAACACCAAAAATAAAGGTGGACTAAGACAAGGAAGAAGAAAAGTGTTTAGATTCTGACATTAAACTACTTCCTGTTTAAGAAAAGAAAGCTTTACTGGTTGGCCGTTATTTTTATGATGGCTAACAGAAGAAAAACTTAAAATATAGTAGGGGAGACCGGGGATAGTTGTAACATTTTTGACATTTCTGTCTGTAAATTGAAGCTCTTTTAAGGTAGTGGATTCAAAATGTAATGCAAAGTATTTACATGTCTCTGCTATTAAATAGTGCAGCTATTTTCTCTGCAGCACAATTACCCATTGCATGGTATGG